CTGCTGGAAACTAGGTCCAGCGTCCCATGAACATCGTGAATAAAGCACCAACCGGCACCCCACACACACACACTCTTCGAGTTGTGTATAGCGAACATGACAAAACATACATACAGCATAATCAATACCTTACCCTTCCCGAACCACATAAACAAACGAACTACGGGCTGCGCACCCGTGCCCTCACGGTAAGTCGATAAATCAACACGGACCACAGAATCCTCTTTTGCAACATTGGCATCAGAAGGGTGCCCACCCTCTCCGCCCCGCCCTGACCCCCTCCGCTAAACCGTGCTGATGGAGGGGGCATCTCGCGCCGCTGGGGATGTCGAAACAAACGGGCCTGACTTTCCAAGCCGTTTGGTGACCTGCGGGGTTTGGAAAACCTTTCCACTCCACCCCTCAGGTTTTCCCGACGTGTACGGGTTCCTCTCGCCGTGACTTGCACATCTTCCATCGACACTTTTGTCCCCATCGCGGTCCCCATTGCGGTTCCCATTGCGCGTAGCGTACTGGTAGGTGGTGACGAAAACTTTTTTATGAAGAGGAATTTACCTATTTACCTATTCGATCTGGATGTGTTTCCGGATTTGGAAAGGGTGTTTGCGCAGTAGAGTGCGAAAAAGACGCGCCTACTTTGTTCTTGTGAGGTAGAGAGAGCGGGGGAAGGGTAGAGGGACAAAGAGCAATTATGGCGAAGTCCATAGGGAGACTGGCAAAGCAAGTGCGAGAAGCGCGGGTAATGGGCCTCGCCAGGCTATCGAGTTCGTCGATCAGAAAATGGAGGAAGTAGGGAGGGGGGACTATTAAGTGACACGCGGTGTTGCTACGTGTCGCAGCTCCATGGAACTGCCCGCCTCCTGGTCGTTGCCGCGTTCGTGAGGTCTCAGCCGTAGATCATTCGAATCAACGACCAAAGCGGTGCAGTGTTTGTAGGGGAACTCTCTCTCTCTCTCTCTCTCTCTCTCGCTGCCTCGGTCGCTCATTCTGTCGTTGGCACGGCCGCCCGCTATTTGTTTGTTTGTCGTTAGCACAGCCGCCCGCTATTTGTTTGTCGGCCGCGCGGTGGTGTTGTCGCTTCTGGTGGGGATTGCCTGCATAATTGCGGGGCATCGCATGTAGGGTCTGCTTGATTGATCTGTAAAATGCAAGTTGATCCTGGAATGAAGGAGCTGTCGTCAATAATAGTTGCAGTGGTTCTGGTGGTGTTGATGTTTTGGCGGCAAGTCCGTGCCATTTGTGGTGATTCGGGTGTCAAAGTACACGTGTGCAATTTTTATTGGGTTCGAACAGACATTGCTGTCCGTTAGTGCAGGTGTTGGTGTTTGTTTTGGAGTAGAGAGAGGGGGGGTAGGAGGAGAACGACAGCACGAGGGTTGCCAGCGTGGTACGTCTCACCTCTGGGAGGCGTAGAAAAGAAGCGGATAATATACCTTTCTCGGCCTTTTGGCTTAAGATCAAGTGAAGTATCTCTGTTCTTTTTTTTTTTTTTTTGGGAAAAGTATCTCTGTTCTGATGTGCTTTAGTATCTGATCCGTGGTCCATCGGGGGAAAAGAAGGAAAAAGAGAGGCGGATGAGACATGTCTCCTCTTCGCGTTTCTCTGGGGAATAAAGTAGAAGGCGAGTTCGTTGCTCCCATGGTGTGTCTGTAGGTTGAGGGCTGTGGGAGGTGGGGGGTTTACCATGCGGTGGAACTGGGTGGAGGTAGCAGGAGGGAGAAGAGGATGAGGAAGTGGCTCAGTCTGTGCTCGGGTGGGAGGGAGGACCAAGCTTTCATTTCGCGCCATATGATCGAGTATGCTTTTCTTCTATTCGGCCGTAGATTCGGGTAATCGACGGCTGATACTCCACTATCTCGAGGCTCACCATAAGGTGAGGGCGGGGATCGACCGCATCGAGCCTTAGCACGTGAGATGTGGGAGGGGATCTACCGCACCGCATCGAGCTGTGGCACATGAGGTGAGGGAGGGGATCGACCGCCATGTACAACGTTTAAGTCGACCTCTCTCTCCTTGCCACCCTTTATAGAGCAGAGGTTATGTCCGGAATTCCTTTTGGGCGCACTATGCAAGTTTCCTCTTGGTTGGTTTGTGTTTTGTCTTCCGTGGGCGAGAAGATTAGGAGGAGAGTTGGTGAGGGAGGAGGGTAGCAAGGGAAGGGAGGGAGGGGAGTCTTGTTGGGGGCCGGGGAGGGAGTTGGGGGAGGGAGAGGAGGAAAAGGGGAGGGAAGGGAGGGGAGGGAAGGCAAGGGGAACGGGGTTTTTGCCTACGCAGGGCGTGGGCGGTAGTTACACATGTGTCGACCCTCGTGGCAAACGCAGGTGTCTGCCTGGTTGCTGGCGTGGGAGATGGTCGAAGGCCTGTTGTGTGGATTTCCCCGCCAACAGTGGAGTGAGAGGACATTTGGGCCAATCTCTGGAGGGGTAATTCTGCGACAAGATCGATGTGGTATATCCATCCTTCCGCCTGCTGGTGGCTGGTGATGCACATTTCGTCAGAATCCTGGCCGTCGTCTTAGGCGGGTTCCTGCCCTTGCTCCTTCATTATACCGCCGACTGGTTCGTGCTTTCGCGCGTGTGTTCAGATTGTCCTCTCTTCGGGGCGCGAGGTGGCGCACAGAGCGCGCGGTCGAGCGAGCGGAAAAAAAAAAAGTAAGGGGGGGGGGAGAGTCGGAAGAAAGAGAAACGGGGTGCGAGAGTGCGAATCGAGTAGTGAGTGGGGGGATGGTGATGGAGTGGGGAAGAATGGCGGCGGCGGCCGCTGTCTCGGTATCGAGTTCGAGAGGGGGAGGGGGGAACGGTGGTCGCAGACTAATTAGGCAAATGCATAGCGGCGGGAAGCATGTTGCTAGCCGAAGCGGTACCGGCAGTCGGACACCACCTCCTCCACTCTCTCTCTTGTCCAACAGGAGGGGGAAGAGTGTGGGAGAGGTGGAGATCGACAGTCATTCGCCATCGTGTGCATCATCGTCCCCATTGCCATCCCCGTCATCATCCGCGTGGCTATGGCTGCTGAGCAGGCGGAATTTGCATGGGGCGAGCTTTGCTGGCCAGATGCATGTATGCTCTGTTAAAGCTGGTGGTGGGTTTGGGAGGGCGGCGGAGAACAGGAGCAGAGGACCGCCATCATCACTTCTGATGCTTTCCAATGTTGGTGGGAGCAAGAGTAATGGGGGGTTGCCCAACGTCTTGACTGGTGCCCTTGGACTTGAGTGGAGATCGATATCGGCACAGATGTGGCGCGGCATGGCGGGGGGAACAAGGAATGGTAAAGAAGCCAGCAGCAGCAAGAACAGGCACGGGACGATGGAAGTAGGGGAGGATGGAGGGGGATGGCTTGGGGCCAGTAGTTTGTCCCCTGGCGCACTGCCGCTGGGTGAAACGACCGCGATCGGTGTGGGGTCGCAGGGCATGCAGCAGGATCATCAGTTCCGGAAGAAGAAGCTGAAAGCGCGCCTTGTGGGGAAGTATGGGGAGGAAGAGGGGGGATGGGCGCGGCAGTTTGACGATTTGAGTAAAGATTGCAACGCGGAGTGCGCGGCGGATATGATGATAGGGGCAGCAGCAGTGGGGAGTAGTGTGCGGGAGACGGTGGCGACAGCTGGAGAGGGGTTGGGAGGAGGTGGTGGTGGTTTTGAGAGGAGAAGACTTGGGGGAGGTGCAGAAGGTGCGGGAATCAGTGTTGTTGGGGGCCGCGGCTTGATGGCCGCAGACACTAATTGCCCCGTGTGCAACAGGCCGATCAACGTCGTTCTTTCGGGCGCAATACCGCCGAGCAAGGGAGGGAAGAGGTGGGTAGGAAGAGTAGGAGAAGGAAGTAGAGAAGGTAGTGGTGAGGGTGTGCTACAGGGCGAGGAGATGAAGCGCGATTCTCAGGTAATTACCAGCAGTGGCGGAAGCAGGGGGGCTGCTGGCGAAGTGGAGTCGTCGATCTTCCGCTGCACAGTTTGTTGTGAGAACTATGATCTCTCGTTAGCGCCGTCAGCGCCTACTCCAGGATCACCTTTCGATGATGTTGTTTCCAGATCTAGCGCAGTTTCAGCAATCCCGTTGTCCCCCTCTGCATCTCCTTCTCGTGCTCGCGCCTTCTTCCCCGTCGACACGGACGCCGCCGAGGGGCTCTTCGCCGTTAATCGTGCGGACATCGACACTGGTAATGATCGTGATGGCGGGAAGAGAAAGGCAAGCAACATCATTAGCAGTAACAGGATCCGAAAGGGTCGGTATGGTGTGCGGGATATGGAGGAGGTGGTGGTGGATGGGGGGGTAGAAGGGCAGCGGCGGGAATATGGCGAGGAGAGGGCAATGTCAGAAGAGAGGGAGCCCTTGGAGTCTTCAAAAAGGCTGAGGGAGTCGTTTCTCCTCCGCCGATTGCGCAAATCACCTGGTGGTGCTCGTGATGGTCACCGACCGAGTTCCGTTTCGGCGGCGCACTGCCCATCCTCTACTCCTCCTGTCCTTCCTTCCGCTGCTTTGTTCCGTGACGGTCATCATTATTATCGTGATCGGACCTACCAGCCTACGATTCCGCCGGGAATTGGACATGACCTCGGATGGGCATCTTCTTCCTCCCCAGGAGCTGCTGGTTTGACCCCGAAGTCTCCCCCTGGTTGGATTGATGGCGACCTTAGGTCAAAGGGAAGGTTTATGGGAGGAGAGGACGTTGAGGAACGGGGGGGCGCAAGCCGCAGCCGGCCGGCGGAAGCGGGCTGGAGCAGATTTGAAGGAGGAGGAGGAGAGGGATGGATTCAGGGCGCGATGAAGGGGTCGGGATCGGGGTCATCATCTCCTCCACCTTCTCCACCCACTCCCACGTCAGTAGCTCCATCGCCGCCGATCCCGCCATCAACGAATCTAGTCCGCGTGCCCGGGACGACGATTGGAGGAGCAGGAGGAGGAGGGGGAGGGAATCGCGAATGGGGAGGCGCGACGATGGGGGGTCATCTTCCGACACCGCGCCAAATTTGCGAAGCGCTGGACAAGTTTGTGATCGGTCAAGATCGTGCGAAGAAGGTAAACACAGTTCAGTCTTCATGTTACTGAAGTTTTTTTTTTTTTTTTTTTTTGGGGGGGGGGAATGTTGCTAATTTTTGTTTCCTTTTCTGCGTAGTTTTGATGATTTGAACTCTGCGGATGTGACTTCCTCCCTCCCCCTCCCCCCTCCCCCCTGGTATATGAACTGAATCTGTCAATCGACATCTTAATATGAATGTATAGTAATTACCATTTAACGTCTTATTATTACTAGTATTACTAGTATTTTGGTGTCGCACAGATGCCTACGTGTATACACGTAACCGGGGTTAAGGTGGACTATCACTTAGAGTACCGTCGGTTGGGAAACTCTGCAGACTGGAGAGGGGTCAGCCAACCAGTCTTCCTCAGCCCATCATTTCTTGTTCTTTTCTCCTTTTCTGCCTACGGTTCATCGGGCAGTTGTCTATGACGATATATTATTTATATATATGTTTACTCTCCTCCCTGCTGTCCGCACTTCTTTAAGACGATATGTATATATGATGCGGCTAGCGTCGGGCCTGTACTAGCAAGGCGCATGCTTTTCCTTTGGGCAGATTTTACCTTCTTTCTTGTGTCTTTCTTTTTATTTTATTTATTTTTCTTTTTATCTTTTGTCAGCCATTTCTCCCTGATGTGGAATGGCATCTGTATATTGCAGGCCCTCTGTTGTGGTTCCGTTTCTTTTACTCTTGATAATATTTGGATAGTTGTGTTCCTATCTTTTCTGTTATCATCGGTCACCACTTGAAAGAAGAAGAAGAAGAAGAAGAAGAAGAAGAAGAAGTGAAGTGAAGTCAAACTTACTGCAGACAGCAATCTGTCCGTCCGCACAGATCGAAGGATCGAACACGTGACCTCCACGTTAAGAGGCGAACACTCAACCAAACGGCTAAGTGGACTGGGGTGAAAGTTAAGCCCCAAAAAGAAGAAGAAAACGAAGAAAAGGATGAAGAAGAAGAAGAAAATGAAGAAGTCGAAGAAGAAAACGAAGAACCGGATGAAGAAGTAGAAGAAGAGGAAGTAGAAGAAGAAGGGGAAGAAGTGTTCGTATGATTGCCCTCTTTTTTGTTATCGTTGGTCACGACTGTCAAGCTGGGTCTGATCTGGCGCGGTCGGTGCGTGGTTGACGAACGCCTTCGACGTGGCAGAGCAGGCTGTCGGTAAGATGAAACCCCCCGCAAAGATTAGCATCAACGCGACGTCGAGAGGGGGCAGATGAAGAAGACGAAGAAACAAACGAAGAAAAGGAAGCAGAAGAAGATGAAGAAGAAATGGAAGAAGAAAACGAAGGAAAGGATGAAGAAGAAGACGATTAGTGGAAAGAAGAGGAAGTAAAAGAGGGAAAAAGAAGTAGAAGAAGAGGAAAAAGTAGAAAAAGGGGAAAAAGAAGTAGAAGGGGAAGAAGAAGAAGAAGAAAGGGAAAAGGAAGAAGAAATTATCTTGCTTCTGTGAGGTTTGGTTTCCTCCTTTTCTTTACCTCCTTGCCTTTTGGCTGTGTGGAAGTGGGTCCTTGTGACACACGGAGATGGGGGCAGCCGGCGCTCAGCCTCTGTCATCCACGTGGCTGGCCTTGTACGTAAGAGGTGATGAACAGGCGGAGCTTTCCTTCTTTCCTTTTTGTGTTTTGTCTTTTGTCGCCTTTGCGCTTCGATACACGGTGTGACGATATATGTACAAATGTATTTGAGGCACATGGATGCGGTCCTCCGTTCGTCGACTGGTGAGACCGGTCGATCGGTGAGCAGGTTAGGTTGTGAAATCAAGAAAACGTGGGTGGGAGGGAAGTATTGATTGGCAGTGGGCGAGTTCTTTCATCTTATAAATATTTTTTGATTCTTTGGTTCTTTGTACATTTTCATGCAAAATTAGCTTCAGTACTTTGGGTTTGTTTCAGTTGGATTGATAAGAGGCATTGAGCTCAATGGGTTGATGAGTAAATGAATTGGTACGTTTTCGTTCTCGTTTTTGTTCCGATGAGCCAATGCCTCGCTGGCACCTTTTCACTATATCGTCGACGGTATATCAATGGCCATGGTTGATCCAGTCGTTGGATTTGATGGGATGTTATTCGAGACAGAGGGGTTGAGAGGGGTTGCTCTTTGAGAGAGCTATCTGTCATTGGTTGATGGCCGTCGATGATCGATCCGCTGGGAGATGGTATTACTATATGTATAGTATCATTCAGAGTCCTTAGAGAGAACAAAGTATCGGTCATTGGTTGATGGCCGTCGATGATCCGGTCATTGGTTGACGGCCGTCGATAATCGATCCGCTGGGAGAGTATATTACTATATGTATAGTATCAGTCAGAGTCCTTAGAGAGAACAAAGTATCGGTCATTGGTTGATGGGCGTCGATGATCGATCCGCTGGGAGATGGTATTACTATATGTATAGTATCATCCAGAGTCCGCTACGATATGCTCGGCCGAACCATCCGGATTGGAAACGAAAATCCATGCATATGTCAGAAGGAAGAAAAGTGGCAGAGTCTGAGCGGTCTGGATTATTAATTAATAGACAGAAAGAAAGAAAGCCCACAGGTTGGACACTCGCGCTTGGTAGAAAGACGCATTAACGGGGTGATTGATGGTCTTCGATGATTGAGCAGATGCATATGTCAGGAGGAAGAGAAGTGGTAGAATCTGAGCGGTCTGGATTATTAATTAATAGAAAGAAAGAAAAGAAAGCGCACAGGTTGGACACTCGCGCTTGGTAGGAAGACGCATTAACGGGGGGTGATTGATGGTCGTCGATGATTGAGCAGATGGGAGGGGTGAGTATCGGTGATTGATGATGATCGCCGGTGACAATCAATCTGTTAAGGGGTCAGCTGGTCGTCGGGATCCGGATCAATCAGTGTTGCTGACGATGATAGCGATCGCGATTCCACGTGTATGATCGTGGGTGATGAAGCGGACGATGTAAAGCACTTGGGAAGATTTTTGGGGAGAAAGAATGAGAAAAGGTTCGCGTAGGGGGCAGTTGGAATAGGCGCGCGGAACTTGCCTCATTGCTGAATGGTAAACAAATGTAGCTTGTTGTTAATGGACAGATCATGAGGTCAAATTCTCATGCATATCATGATGTCAGGGCCTGCACTGCTTGAAGCAAACAGAAGAAATGAGGGTGCGCTGAAGTCGGGTTCTTTTGAGCTCAACGAGGGAGGAGAAAGAGTGGTTAGGCACCTCGAAGAGAGTCGCATTTGTAGGCCCATGCACACATACATGCACGCACACACACACACACACATCCCAAGGGGCAGCCCACGCACATACACGCACGCACCCACCCACCCATCCCAAGGGGCAACCCATGCACACATACACGCACGCACACACACACACACACACACACACACACACACACACACAGAGAGAGAGAGAGAGAGAGAGAGAGAGAGCCTGCGGGTTTTGCAAGTCGACTGTTAGGAGCGTGGATGAGGGGTAGCACGTGGAAAAGAGCTGCATTTACACCGCCGCCCACTCACCCACGCCGAGGGGCACAGACACACACACACACACACAGAGAGAGAGAGAGAGAGAGAGATTGCGCGCGTCTGGGTAATGGACACAAGCAACCTTTGGAAGCGTGGGCAAATGAATTTGTGCAGAAGTACATGGTGAGGTTTATGCAAAAGGCGAGGTGAATACAAGTCGAACGGGTTACTGTAAAAGACGAAAAGACGACCTTGTGGTCTTGAGATCATGATTTTCTCTACGTGAGATGGATAATGTATGTAATTACTCCTATATATGAAAAAGAAGCACAACGCATAGATGGAACATATGAAACATAACAAAAGAGAAAAAAAGGCCAAGTTATGCATCCGAACCTTTTTTTCTTGCTTTTCTGTTTCTCTTTCGTTTGTTTTTTCCTTTGAGACCTATACAGACAAAAAGATAATCAACGTCTACGTCTGCAAATCTGTTTTAGTATTCTCTGTTGTTCGTTCGTGGGAATGTACGACCCTGGAAAGAGAGGGGATGACTTTCGTTTTGGGGGAAAAATGGAAAAGCAACAAAGACATATAGGGACAAGTAAATAAAACAGTAAACAAACAAGAAACAGAGAAGCAAGGAAAGAGTATTGTCTGCATTTATACTCTTGTCTTCTTCTTCTTCTTCTTTTTTATATGTTCATTTTTTTCTTATGTTGTATCTCTGCGCGATTGTTTTTTCGTTATTTCCTTTTCCCACGTGTTTCCTGAAATTGACCCCGTCTTTGACATTTCAAGTGGTTTCATGAAATGCGCCTCACAAACTTTCCGTTTGCTAAAAGTGCATGTGAAAGGGAAAGCCCGTATGAGTTCAGTTTGCATTATAGATAAGGTGCTGATCCGAAAGAGCACTTACTATGCACGGTGAAAAAGAGATCAATGCACTAATTTTTTTTTCCCCTTTTTCGAAATCTTAAAAAATCTAAAGTTCCCAAATTTTTCAAGAGAATTCCCGCTGAGATAACAGATCCAGCGGTGGGTTCTTCTACATGAGCTTCAGGTAACCAAATAAGGGCGGTAGCCTCTAACCCCTTTCTGTATCCGTCTGATTTCCATCAGGTTTTGAACTCGTGACCTGTTCGTTGACATCTACGTGTGCACCGTTCAGCCACATGGGCTGGCTAATGTGCTGCATCTTACTTTGAATACTCGCTTACGCGACTCATTCCGGTTAAGCCACTCAGCCCGCCGACGTGCGGCGTGCATTCAGCCCGTTTGTGATCCTCATCGAGCCCGTTTGTGACCCTCATCCAGCCCGGTTATGGCCCTGAGTCAGCCCGCTTATGGCCCTGAGTCAGCCCGTTTATGACCGGCGTACATTCAGCCCGTTTGTGATCCTCATCGAGCCCGTTTGTGACTCTCATCCAGCCCGGTTATGACCCTTAGTCAGCCCGCTTATGGCTCTGAGTCAGCCCGTTTATGACCGTCGGTGAGCCCGTTTGTGATTGTCATTCAGCCGCCCGTGGATGGCCGTCGTTCAGCTCGTTTATGACCGTCGTTTAGCCCGTTGGTGACCGCGGTTCAGTCCGGTTATGACTGGCATTCAGCCCGTTTAAGACCGCCATTCAGCTCGTTTATGACCGTTAGTCAGCCCGTTTATGACCCGTCGTCAGCCCGTTTTTGATTCCCAGTCAGCCCGTTTGTCACTCACAGGCCGCCCGTTTGTCATCCATAATGGACTCCCTTTATCGCCCACACTCAGCCTGTTCATTGCCGGATTCAGCCGATGTGCAACAACCCTTTCAGCCAGTCAGTTGCCCAGTCTTGCGATAGAACCTGATGAATGTACGGTGACATAGATGGATAGATAGAGGGCCTTGCCGCACCACTCAGCAAGTGTGAAAAAGGCCAACTATGGCGGCGCGGGTGTACCTTTGGACGTTCGAGCGAAAGATACGTCCCCAATTTTGTGCACTTAGTGAGAAGTGCGGCGAGACCCAGATTGTACGGTCGCTTGGTGGACTTAAACTCTGACCCAGATTGTACCGTCGGTTGGTGACTTTAACTCTGTAGTCACGTGGGTGTTACGTATGTACTCGTTCTCCCACTTCTCTCCCCGTCGGTCATTCAGTCCTTCACTCACCCTGTGTGACCCGGACGATCACTGACCTACCGTAGTGGGGTGCGGGAACGCGTGCGCGATGCTTCCATCGTATAGCGATCATTTGTCAATTTGTCCAGCAGCTATGGCCTGGCCTGTCAGGATTCGAAGTTGTGATCTTAACTGTGATGTGTGTGCGCTATTTAGCTGCACAGTGGACGCACAGTGTCCGGATGCTTCCATCGTGGCGGTTATCCGCCGAACTGTTGTTCGATCTTCTAGTTACGTCTGCCGTTGTGCAATCCACCGGTAGATAGCTCGCTCATTGTGTCGGCCGGACAACCGCCGCACAGTGGCCGCAGAGTGGTCGCACAGGGTCCATTTTGTTGGTTAGAGCATTTTTTTACTCTGGCCATTCAGCCGACCTGTAAGGTAATGCTGCTCCTTCTCATCCTACGCTCTTCCTCCTCCTCAGTCAATCGTCTTCCATCATCTGTGCATGTCCAATCATCTGTGTGCCGAGCTGCCTCCGGAGGCGTGAGTGCGCTGAATCCTTCGTCCTCTCGTTCTCTCTCGGTCGAGAACAACTGAGGGCTGTATGGTGACAGTGCCTCTTCTTCGACTCCTTTCTCTGCTCATCCTTTCACCCCGCTGTTGTCTGTGCTTTGAGTTGCTTCGGGAACAATTAGTCCTGCTGCTCGTTGCGTTGGGCTGGTACTCCTATCCCGGCTGTCATTGCCTTCCAATCCGAAGGCAGGGCGTGCTTACACTGGACGACCTGCTTTGGGTGCCAGTCTCTGCATGATTAATTTTGTCCCGCCGGGAGTTTTCGGCTCACATAGCTCACTCAGGTCTATAGCTCCGTCTGATGGCCGGTGTGCTATATATTTGGTCAGAGTTAGCTGGCCCCCTTCCCTCCCTTTCCCCCGTCCCCCATCCCTCCTCCCCTTCCCTTCCCCCCCCCTTTGCCCAAAGGAAAAGGGGAATAGAACACATGCGCGTGATTTTGCTTGCTGCATCGGAGGCACGGCTTTCAATGGCTTCTCACTGGACGATGCAGCTGTGTAAGGCCATGTGTTCTATACAGAAGAACGCGGAGAGCCCTGTGCGGCTGTCAACCCTTGTTCGTCTTCTTGCTTGTCCTCCGTGATTCATGCAGTTCGGTACCATTGCTGATCAGCCCTCATTCCATCCTCCACTTTCTTTTACCCTTAATTGCCACCTTGTTCCTACGTACGCATGATTCTGTTTTTCCAAGATAAACCCTCTATACATTCATGGTGATATAGAGAATATGTGTATGTTTTGGGGAATAAGGTAGCATTCTTTCTCTCTTTCTCCGTACATTGTTTTTGTGTCGCCTTGTCGCCAAAAGGCATGTATTGGGCATCCTAAAACATTGAAAGAGAAACAACATAAGAGTGAAAAGTTGAGAACGTTATTATGGTAATTGTAAAACTGCCTAATTCGAAACAGCTGAAAAGAAAGAAATTAAGAGAATTAGAATTTAGAAGAACAATAAATAATTTAATCATAATATGATAGTTGCAAGTAAGTTGTAAACTACCTACTTTGTGGTCGTTCGCCAGTCTTCTTCTCTCTTGAAAAAAAAAGGAGCCAATGGCGTCTAGGCGTCATCGTCGACCTGATCGGCCCCAGGTCATTTTGAGTTGTTGTTATACTCATCTCATTCATCAGGATTCGAACTCAGGTTTGTTTCTGGACAGTTACGTTGGTGTACCGTTCATCCACATGGTGTTATCGTTGTCTTTTTTTGAAGGGAGGGAATTCACGTGGGCGGCCTTGTACGCAAGAGGTTCTGAACAGGGGGAGTTGTAAGGAAGACGATTAAAAAAAAAAACGAATTCATTTTTTCCTTGTTTCTTTCTGTTTTTTTCGCCTTTGCGCTTTGATAACTGTGTGACAATACATAATATATATTGCTGACTTTGTTTGCCTCGCTCTGCCGCTGTTATGGTTTTCCGTCTTGGGGTGTGCACAGGTTCTGTCAGTGGCTGTGTACAATCATTACAAGAGGATATATTTCGAGTTGCTAAGGAAGGGACAGCTGCATGGATCAGGCTTGTCGGAAGGTCAGTTTGCAGATCGTTCCAAGCCATGGGATGAAGGGGTGCTGTTCGGGGGTTACTACATGTCAGATCGGGATGGGTCTTCCAACTCTGAAAGACCCGGTTATCTGAGAAGTCATCAGGCAGGGTCGGGATTGGGATCCGGCATGGGAGTGGAGAGCTCGCTCAGGCACAAAGATGAAGGGAACGTCGGTTCAGCTTCACAAACGAGTTCCCCCGAGGGACATGACAGAGGGTGTTCCAGAGAAGGGGGCCCTTCTACTGGTGGCACTGCATCCAGTCAATCGGATGGCTTCGTGTCCTCTGGCGGCAGAGGCAATGGGTCTTTAGCTGGATCACTGCTGGACGATGAGAATAACGAATCTGTGGAGTTGGAGAAGAGTAATGTGTTGCTGATGGGTCCCACAGGCTCAGGTAAGTGCCAATCCAAGACCAGCCATTTTTTGCCTCTTCTCATCTGTTCTCCTCGAAGATGAGTGTCTGCTGTGCGACCGGCTTGCACTTTTTTTGTTGTGATGATGGAGGTGCTCGGGCATCCTTGCATACTACCACCATATGGCAGAGTTGGCTTTTTTTTTTCTTTTCCGGATGCTGTTTGTTTCACTTTTTAGAAGGTAAGTTGGTAGTCAAGTGTGTATATTTTGCATGATATTTTCCACCAGCCAGCCAGGGATTGTTCTGAGAGGGAGGGCGGCAGGTTTGGTGTCTAGTTTGAAATGAAATAGGAGAGAGGGAGGGAGAGAGGAAGCTCCGGTATAGGCGTTATTGTGAAAACTGCTGCCGTGTGGTAAGGACCGTCTGTGAATGCGAAGATCACTGCACAGCTTATAACGTGGGAAGAGTGGCGCCTAGGACGAAGAGAGAGAGAGAGAGAGAGAGAGAGAGAGAGAGAGCTACAGCATCTACCTAAGCGCATGTTAATTGCTCACACCTTCCTACCATATCTACCTAAGCCCGTGTCATCTGTATTCCTGAACCCTTCTGACCTTGGTATCCTACCTCTCCTACCATCAGGTTGCGGTATCAGCACCGAAAGTGGCCAAAGAAGACCAAAAGAGGTCCACACTATCTTAGGTCGTGCACTACACATGTCTGCACGATTGCTATGCTCTAACCCCAGCATTTTCTTGACCCCTTTTACCCTCTTACCCTCTTACCCCCCCTCTATAGGCGAACACTCCCCCTCTTGCGGCGTACTATAATACAACTGTTTCCCTCCCATTATCGGGAGCTCCCGTACAACCCCGCCCATCCCTCCTGACTATGGTACACGTCAGTTGAGGTCGGTGGTCGTCATCTTGGGGACTAGGTACACGGCGCATTAAGATGGGTCCAAACGGCATCCGGCCCGGCTGGGGGTCGCGGTTGAGCAGTTGTGGGTCTGGGCTCCAGCTTTCACAAAACGCTTGTTCCCTTGCTCCTTCGTGCGGCTTCTCCTCTGGAGGTCGGTCATAAGGGCAGTCCTGATATTTTCCAGCGCCCTCTCTTGACACACTTGGAGTGGTGGGGCTGTTCCCTGCCTGCATCGTTCATTTTGCAGGGTCCACAGGGCCCATAGTGCTGCTGCTCGTATTGTTTCTGCAGCCAGCATATCTTCCTTTCTGAACCTATCCACCTTCATCAGGGCCCCCAAGAAGATGGCAGCGCCGTCCATCTCTGTGACCTCCAGTGGTGACCCATCTGCCACGTCATGTGCCCACCATTCCCAGAATGCCCTGACTATCGGGCATCGCACACACAGATGGGGGATAGACTCTACTTCTCTGCACCCCGCAGCACGTTCCTGGTCCTTGTGTTGGCTCCTAAGTGCCAGCCATTGTGCTGTTGGGATCGCCAGGTGATAAATTTGCCATAGGAGCCCAGCCTGTTTCCGATCTGGCAGCGCTGCCAAGGTGGCACGTTGCTCGTTCCACCTCTTCTTCGTCCACTGTTGAGGTATACATCCGGAAAGCCAGCTCCTCTTGGCCCACCGGTCTCTAAGTTCTCCCCTAATGTCTACCTGCTCCAACAGGGAGTTGTAGACATTCTTTGTGGTCAGGTCCTGGAGCGGGACTGCTCTCGTCCGCCTCCTTTGGGCCGGCCGCTCCCACTCCCTTGGACCCCACGTGAGATTCCGTCTCTTTGCTGCCAGCCGGTATGGCAGGTAACACCCTTCCCGTTCCCTCTGTCTTTCGCACACCGCCTCGGTCTCAAACAGATTTCTGTCCACCACCTTGGGGAACCCCCTTTCCTGCCTACCACCCTCTTGCACTTGCAGCACAGCCCCCAGTCCTTCATAACCCGAGTTCGCCACCCAGCCGGTGACTTCCAGTCTCCCTTCTGCCACCACCCGTTCTATCCTGTATACCATCTCCGGTCTCCGCAGTCCCCTCACTTTCAACCACTCTCCCGTTGTTACTCCGTCCTTCCTGAGGAGCTCCACCCACTGGGGAGGGATGGCTTCTCTCAGATCTTGTGGTCTTTGCCTTCGTCTCATCCGATCCTGCAGGACTTCCACCATATCGTTATCAGATCGGCAGTCCGTTTGCCGTTCGTCCCATAGATGACCCACCGTATAGATTCCTTGACCGGCCCACTTCCATCCAAATGCCCCTCGCTGGCCCAGCCAGGGGTGAGGTTCACCAGTCTCATCGCAGATGAATCTGTTCTCGAACAGCAGCTGATTGTAGACAGCATTGGCGGTTGCCGGTAGGCGGCATCTTAATCTTATCTTCTTCCACAGTGCCAATTTTGTGGCCCGCACCGTATCTCTGTGAATGTGGCCTATTGCTGCATTGCTGACCAAGCAGAGGTCGGCCGTCTCTCTCGGCACTTGAAGTGCATAAGCCAAGTAGGTCCGGGCAACTTCCTGCCAGATGCCCCCTACCGTGCCCAGCAAGTACCAAAGCAACTGGCGTAACTGCAGGGCAATAATCTGCTGCCTTGGGTCCAGTAAGCCCAGTCCCCCAAACCTTCTTGGCTGGATGAGCCTGGTCCAAGTGACTCTACAAATGGAGTCCTGTGCTTCCGCATCGTTCGTATCGTGAACTATGTGGCTTGCTGGGGGAGCTGGTGTACCGAAGTTTTATGCGAAGAGATCATAGACCCCCTTTGGTGTAGGTATTTAAATCATTGATTGTGTGAGTCATCAAAACAAGTATGTTGTTGAACATAAAATCCCCACCCGGTGCTGCTAATAGCTTGGATTTGCACTGTTGCATAAATGAAACTCCGAAATTCTGAAATGATTTTTATGGCAATGCCGTCGTACCAGATGCCCTGTTGTTGAAGATACAGTCCCCGGTGTTGTTATGGCAATGCCGTACCGGATTTGCACTGTTGTATAACTGAGACTGCAAAATTCTAAACTGATTGTTATGGCATGCCGTAACTGATGTCCTGTCTGAAGAAGAAGCTGTTTCGTTCGGTTGCTGGTTGCTTTGTCAAGTGCAGGGAAGACTTTGCTGGCAAAAACCCTTGCGAGGTTTGTGAACGTTCCATTTGTTATTGCTGATGCAACTACTTTGACACAGGTATGTCATTGTCCTTTCTTTGTTCGTGTCCTCATCCGGATGATAGAATTTTCCATGACTTTGTGGATTCAAGTGACATCCTTACACCACTACAGTCCATCAGTCCCTGTACTGTAGGTTCAATTCGTTGGCGAATACCGGAGCTGAATCTGCAGTGTTTAGGCCTGGTGGAGGTTTTGCGAGGACAGGGCCTGTGGGCCCTGAAAAACTTTGCCAGCCTCTACTGGGTTCGAGAGTAGGGTGGGCAGTAGATGTGAAAACGTGCTGCCCGCGTCAAAAAAGTCTGCGCTGATGCACCCTCATTATGGCTGCACTGCACCGGAAAGTTAGCTCTATACATTCTTTGAGGGTGCGTTGTGCCTTGGGGGAAGCTCCAAAAGCGCCGAACGCGGTGCACCCTCGTTATGTCTGTACTGGGCTTGAAAGATAGCTTGTATACATTTGTTATCTGGGTGTGTTGTGTTTGCTTGTATACATTTGTTATCTGGGTGTGTTGTGTTTGCTTGTATACATTTGTTATCTGG